TCCCATCTCCAAGGCAAACATGACCCCAGTTCTACTGACTCCCATTTATTTCAGAGGCGATTAACTAAATTTTAAAGGTGAAGAAAGGGAGGGAGGAAGGAAAGAACACATGAAAAAAGAGAAAGAAGAAAACATACAGCTTTTTAAAACAATCATCAATAGACTTATTCTGATGAGAGATCTGAGAATATTTCCAAATTCTCAAGTGTTTGAGTCCCAGTTACACCTTCAAACTATTGGAAGTGACAGCACAGAACTGGGAGACACAGTCACATCCACGATCTATGTAAGTCTTCCCTCACCTCACCTGAGGCTGCTGAAACACAAACCCCACCTGGCTTCCAGGTTTGGGTCCTTCTTTCTGCCTCTGTGATCAACTATAAACAAAAGGAGATTGCAGGGTGTATGTGTGTGTGTGTCTGTGTGTGTGTGACAGAGAGAGACAGAGAGAAAGAATACTTGCTGATATTTTCAAATTCTAATTCTGGGGATGCAAGCTTCGCTCAGACTTTTACTGGGGCTTGAACTCAGGGCCTTCACATTGAGCCACTCCACCAGTCCTATTTTTGTGAAGGGTTTTTCAAGATAGGGTCTCGCCGAACTATCTATTCAAGATAGGGTCTCATGCAACTATGTGCCTGGGCTGGTTTCAAACTGCAATTCTCCTGATTTCTGCCTCCCGAGTAGCTCGGATTACAAGCATGAGCCACGTCGCCCAGCTTTCGCTGACACGCTTAATAACTACAAGCAGTGAGATGTCTTGATAGTGCTGCAATCAGCTTCCCTCCCTCCCCTCTTAAATGCAGCTATGAAATGCTGTCACTTTTCATCAGTGCTCCATATGTTGAATAAAAGCGGTCCTGACCTGCTTGGAAAAGTGTTACTCCTGGTATCTTTCTTTACTGTCTTCACAATTCTGGGATGGTGGCTCCAAAAATGGAGCTGGAATCAGGGTCTAGATCAGGGCAGGACCCAGGCATCCCCACAGGACTCCAGCTCTGCATGGCAAAATCGAGCACACAGTTCATACAGCCTCCTGGGACTCTTACAAAGGTCACTATTTTAATGAGACTGCACAGTTCCACATTTTTTCAGCCTAATAATGTGATCACTGTCACTCTTGCTTATTAACCTACCCGCTCCCTTCCTGAAAAGGCTCTCAGAAAAGGGGACCAAAGTCCTTGGGAGGCTACTTCTAGGTGTACTTCTAGGTAACATTTACTAAGCACTTTTTTCTGTGCTGGACACTGTACTAAGCATACTTTTTCCACTTAATCTTCACAGTCATTAAAGGTAGATGGTACAAACCCAATTTTATAGATTGGGTAACTTAGACTTAGAAAGACAAGTCAGGGCTGGTGGAGTGGCTCAAATGGTAGAGTGTCTGCCTAGCAAGCATGAGGCCCTGAGTTCAAACCCCAGTGCCACAAAAGAGAAAAAAAAAAGACAAATCAATTACCCAGGGTCATACTGTTCATAAGAATTTTGGAAGTCTTCCAAAAGCCCTGCCTTTACCATATTCTACACCTAGAAGAGGGCAATAAGATTGTGCAAGGTGCACTGGCTTTGAGGTCAGAGTCTTTCCACAACAGTGGAGTGCTCTCGGTGGTCACGGAGCCTCTCAAAGCCTCGCACTTCACCTTCCATATTGGAACAGCCATCTCTGACCTGCCCTTCACCAGGGCTTGAATAACTGTTGTTGAGTTCTAATAAATTCATTTCTCCAATAAATTCTTTTCCAATAAATTCAAACTTTCTCATACATCTGCTCAAGGTCAGGAATGAGAGGTGGGGTAAGAGGAAGCACAAATAAGGGAAGTCTAAAGCTGAAGTTATAAGTTCTATTTGTTTATTTGTCTTGATGCAACTGTCTGGGGAGTCACAGATTCTAATATGTGACAATGAATTGTACTGTTACGGTTTGGGTATAAAGTGGCTCCAAAGGTTTAGGTGTTAAAGACTTGGTCGCCTGCTGATGGTAACAGCTTTGGGGAAGTGATTAGATCCCAAGAGCTCTGCGCTAATCAGTGGATTAATCCCTTGATGGATTCATAATACAATGTCATTACCAAGAGCTGACATAATACAATGTCATTACCGACTGGGAACTAGAAGGTGGGGACTAGTTGGAGGAAGGAGGTCACTGGGGGTGAGCCCTGGAAAGATAGCCTTGTCTCTGGCTGCTTCCTGGCCACCATAATGTGAACTGCCTTACTCTACCACACGCTGTTGCCGCAATGATGTTCTGCTTCCTCTCAGCCTAAAAGCCTGGACCATGGACCAAAACCTCTGAAACAGTGAACGAAGAAACAAATCTTTCCTCTATTAAGCCATTTTTCTCAGGTACTTGGTCATAGCCACAAAAAAGTCTAATGCTTCTACTAACACAAAAAGCGATGGAGACATAAAATCAAACAATCAAAGCAGGGGACCACAAAACATGTGCTCAATAAATAACTAAAGGACGGTCAGAAGAAAGGCGGGCAGGTGGCAGGCAAGCTGGCATTTCCTCAGGATCTCATTTAATGATTAGCTAGTTGGTATTTCATTTCCTACACATGTGGCTAATTGGCGCTTTTAAGTCACTAGCAAATTAATTTGGTGGAAGTTATTTGATTTCATTCTGTCAGTACAAATGAACAAAGAACTTAAAAACAATAGCAATGCTTGTGACAAACAACGAAATGCAGTGACAAATAGTCTTGGCAAACCATAATAGTTTGTAGTCTGAATAGGCTATGATTTTTCTAAAACAAGCATCAGGCTAGTGTAGCCCTCCTATTTTCTTGAAACTTCAAATTGCCTAGTTGAAGCAACATCCATGGAAACCAAACACACACACACGCTCTCTGACTCCCACAGAGCTGATATAAAAATGCTGCTTCAAACAGTACCTGATAAAATCCCAGCACACACATTTACTCCTACAGCCATCAGTTAACACAACAGCAACTGTTGCACTTCTGCAACTGATGTAGAAAAAGACCTATAGCAACTTACAAGTGAAGACTTTGGGGAACCTTAGAAGAGACCTATACAGAGATGAAGAAATGTAAAGGGATTTATGGTGGTCTGGTGAGAAGCTATGCTTGAACAAAGAAAATAAAAGATAGTAAGTAATAACTGGGGGGTCCCTAACCATACAGTAAGGATTTGGATAGATATAAAGACAGAAATAGTCATCATCCTACTCAAAACACACTTGTGGCTGAAGCTCTGTAACACAGTCACAAAATTAACCAATTGTGTCCACCCTTAAAAATCTCTTAAAAGAGAGAAAATGGCAAGATGGATCTATTCAAAACTTTTTTTGAAATTAGGAAATATTATTCTCCAACTAGAGGGCTGGAGTGGCTAAAGCCACAGTAAGAGAGAGAGCACTGCTGTTAAACACACAGCATCATCGTTTATTCTGTTGAAGAATGCAAACCTAACAGGAACCTTGGTGCCCCTTCCTGCAGTTTTCTTGGGTCTGTAGGGACAGGAGGCTGGCTCCAGATGGGGACCCAGGGAAGGGACAGCAACATATGTAGAGTATCCCTTCTGGACATCTGCATGCCACTCCACCCTTGCCCTCCCACCCACAGGTCCACCACAGACTCCACCAACTAGTCTCAAACATGGACCAAGTCATCCTTCTAGGACACAGGAAAATCCATACACAGTCAGAACTCGGGAGGTGGTGGGGGAGTTTAAATCCAGATCTCTCCTCCCTTGTTCTAGCTCAATCCTGTTGAAATTGTTCAACACAGCACAGTGTACAAATACAAAATATTTTCCCAGGGAGAGTCAGCTGGCTTTAAGTGAAAAGTATTACATTGTCAAGAGACCATTTCTAACCAAGAATGTTAAAAACATTCTAACAGCAAAAGCCAGGCACAAGACTGGAGCCTACTAATACTTACCACAGACAAAAGTAAACAAACACAAAAGGTCTTAACTAACCCTCCCCAGCAGAAGCAGGTGGAGACTGAAGGCACACTATGCCCCACAATAACCAAGATCTGGGAAGCTCAAAGAAAAAATCCCTATAAATATGTTGCCTTTTTTTTTTTAAGTTTGGAAGAAAAAACTTTTATAGAGCCTAGAATATGGAGGCTTACATAAGAAGCCCCAAATGTTGCGTTGGATCAGGGTGATCAAAATTGATTTGGAATATGGTTAAACTGCTTTACCTAGTGACTACTAATAAATTAGAGACCTTTCTTTAGTTGGCAAGAGGACAGTTGCCACTGGCCAATTTGATTTTCCTGAAAACGGTGAAGACTGCATACTCTTTTTTTTTTTTTCCTTTCGGATAAAAAAATCCCTAAAGTCCCAAAGTACTGTTTCTGCAATCAGAAGCTGACATTCCTTTCAGGCCTAATGTCTTCTTTCACCTGTTCCAAAATTGCTTATTATGGACATTTTCTATTGAAACTTCTTTTAAAGTAAAGCGCTTAGAAACCTCACGGTAAATCAGAAATTGTTCAGCAAGGATGAACTACTTAGAAGAGTTAAAAATGAAATTATCCAGCCAGGGCACACATATTCGTCACTATTACGCGAAGTGATACAGAAGATTTAGCCAACTGGGCTTCACAAGATGCCCCACAATCTTCTTAGCAAGAAAAAAAAAAGTCATCTGTTTATCCCCGACTTAGAAATCCATCGCAACGCCCTCCCCGCAGAAGGCTGCATCTGGGCTGAAGTGCAGGTTCCCAAACTCGGCGGAGAGAGCGCACCGATCTGTCACCAGCGGCCCCACCTGCCAGGTCCCACCCAGCGCTCTAGAGCAGCCAGGCCGGGCGCACCTTCCAAGTGCGCCCTTCTCCCCGCTCCTCTCCTCCCAGGAGCCTGGCCCAGCGCGGCGTTATTCCTGGGGGCAGAAAATCCAACAGACCCCCTAAAAGAAAAAGAGGGCTGGCATTATATAACAATATAGAGCAGCTGGAAAACGAAAGTAGCTAGAGGAGGGGCAGGGGCATTGGGAGGCGAGGGGAGCTGTCGCAGCCACTTACTCGAAGGCGAAGAAGAGTCCACTAGTGACCAGGATGAGGATGAGCGTCAGGTAGAAGACGCCGGTCTGCCGGGCCATCATGATCCTCCCGTTGCAAAAGAACTTGTTTCTTCCCGGGAATACCTCCCATTTCCTCCGGGCCGCGATTTTCTTCTTGTGGGGCGACTCCATGGGGGAGGAGCTGTGGGTGCTGATCTGACTGTACTCGCAGTCTTTCATGGGCCCGCCGCCGCCGGGAGGCATCCACGAGGGCAGCCGGCTGGGGGCGCACACCCCCAGAAGCCCCCCGGCCGCGCGGGCCCCGCCGAGCCACGGCCACCCCCCGAGCCGCGGCGCCGCGGCCCCTACACGGGCTCCCGGCTCGGCGACAACTTTGCCGAGGACACCCAGGTTAACCCCTTGGGGAGCCCAACTGTCATAGCAGAATCCGCTTTCGGGAAGGACGGTGTTAGCCCGCAGCCCGCGACAGCTGTCCTCGATGGATTCCAGCCCGCGTCCCGGGGCTCCCGGGCTCCGCCGGGCGCGGGGGGCCGCCCGGCCGCCCCCGGGGTCTCGGTGCGCACGCCTCTTCGCCCGGCCGCGCGCACGGCCCCGCCGTCCCCGGCCGCCGGTCTGCGCCTCGCCTCCGGCCCGCTGACCCCGGAGCGCTGCGGCTCGAGGGGACACGAGGCGGCGGCCCCTGCGCCGGCTTTCTCAGGAGCCACTTCTGCGCCTCGGCCAGGTTTATTCTACTCCTTCCTCCCGGTGGCGGATCCTCCCTGGAGAGAGCTCTGCAAACTGGGCGGCAGCTCGCGGCACCGGCAACCCCTCCCAGGGGTGGGGACAGCCACGCACGTTATTCTGTCAGGAGCGGCTCGGCGAGAGCCCGGGAGCTGCTCGCGCCGCGACCCCGCGTCCGCGCGCCTCGCAACCGAGCCGAGTCCCCGGCCCCCCGTGCGGGGCTCCGGGCCGAGGGTGGCGGCGGCGGTGGCTCGAGGGCTGCGCGGCCGTGGGGGCTCCCTCGCTTCCTTCTGCTCAGAAGAGCCAACCCTAGCGCGAGGAGGGCCGCCGGAGGGCCACGGGGACACTGCCACAGACACTTGTTTGCAAGGCTCAGCCCCGGCGCGCGCGCGGCGCTGCGAGTGGGTCCGCCTCCTCGCGGCCGGGTGGGCGGTGGCGCCCGCGCCTCGCCGGCCCAGCTCCTCCTCCTGCTCCTCCTCCTGCTCCCCGGCTAGCGGGGCACCAGCTCCGCGCTCCCCGCCCCAGTGCCCTCCGGCCGGTGTCCCGGGCTCGGGAAGGCGCTGCGCTCCCGGTGGCATCCATTGCCCGAAGAGCGGTGGGTCGGGCGCCCGCTGCCCGGTCCCGCAGTGCGTTCTCGGCGGGCTTGGGTCCGGCTTCTTCACCCGCACATTCCCGGCAGCAGCTGCCGCCTCGGGACGCGCACATTCACACAGCCACTTGCAAACCCATTCTTGCAACTCCGGGGGACCTGAGGAGCAACGGCGCGGAGAGGCGACCCTCCCCGGCCTGCCCCCGGCTCTTTCTCTTCCTTCCCGCGGGACGCGTGGTCGAGCCGCCGGGGGATTCTACTGATGCCCCGGGAATGGGGTCGGGTGCCCGGTGTCAGGATGGGGCTGCGGGCGGGGGTCTTGCGGCCCAAGCAAGGAGGGGAGAACGGAGCAGACCAGGACCCCGGCCCGGGTCTCCCTCTCTGAGTAAGACCCCGATGGCTCCGAGGCTCTGTTTGGGTCTCTGACCCCCGGCCCCTTCACCTCACAATGTGCTCGTTTTATTTGTCTCTCCTTTTCCCTGTGCAGCCCCCAGGCAGCGGAGGTCCGCGCGCCTCTTCCCTCCTCCCGCGCCTCCTTCCATGCGGGTCTGACAGCCCGGCCCGCCGGCCGCAGCCCCTGGCAGCCAAGCCCGCGGCGCCTGCGTGCTCGCGCCCTCCCGCGCTTGGCCACCGAGCCCTGGCCCCGTGGTCACAACCCGGGTAGGGGATGGGTGTGGGGAGAGCGAAAGGCAGCGGGGCGGGGTCGCTCGCTTTTCCGAGCCCCGCTTTCCTTTCGCGGTCCTGTGGGATGTGTAGTTTCGCCTCTCACCGTCCGGCTCTGAAAGGAAACACGTCTTGGAGACCTAAAACTACAAGTCCCTGCATGCCCTGCGACGAGGGCGGGAGAGACGAGCGCTGGGCGTTCTGGTGCTCTGTGGTTGGAGATGGGAACCAACAAAGGGGGTGGTGGAAAACGGTCCCTTCTCTGTGCTAAAGACTTTTAGCACTGCACGTGTTCTTTGTCTAATACTCACCATAACACTGCGACCCATTACTGGAGAATGGGTCAGAGAAACTACCCAACGTCATAAAGCTCCCGGTAGTAGAGAGGGCATCGAACCCTCAGCTCTGAGTATTTCCCTTACAAAGCCTTAGTGAGCAGTGTCAAAGGGAGATGAGATTGGCTAGCCAAAACAGAAAAGGAAATGTTGCTAGCCGGCAAGACCTTCCTGTAACAGGGAAAAGTAGTGGGGATGGCGATTAGAATATTACATGAAATTACAAGGAGTTAAAGTTAAACCGGAATCTACAGGGTCTATTCCGAAGCAAGTTAGGTCTTAGAGGAATGGATCTTAAATACGCAATCTGCACTAGCTTTGAATTATTTGAAATATTCTATGGCAGACAAGCATATTACAGGGCCAATTAAGTACTTTGTGGCTGCACTATTTTTAAAACTCCAACTGGTGAGCTGTTGACATTCAAATGAAAGCTCTCCTGCTTTCCTGTCCTTTAGTTGGTGGGATCAATAAGACGTTATTCTATTTGTTGCAAGCACCTTTTTCTGGGTGTCCAGTTAATATACTAAATCGATTGTCTTGATGGCTTTAAAAAGGTCCCCATTCTTGGGGCTGAGGTGTATCTCTCCTAGTAGAGTGCTTATCCAAGACTCCCACTCTTAATTCTCCATTAAACTGAACTTTTCTGGCATCATAGTTATGCTGTTAAAAAGTACTCATCTGTTAGAGAAGCACACTCAAGAATTTGTAGGTGAAATTACATAAAGTCTGGAATGTGCCATAAAACACTCCAGCCCATCTACCTCCCAAAGATGTAGAGTATAAATGAAACGATACTGGAAATTGTTGACATGAGATATTGTATTCACTGCAAATTATCCCAGGCTTGGTGACTTTGAAACAACAGAGGTTTAATCTCAGTTTCTGTGGGTCAGGTATCCAAGCACCTGGAGTCCTCTGCTTAGGGTCTCACACTTGCCGGCAAGGTACTGGCTAGGCTGTGCTCTCATCACCTGGAGAAGAATTGGTTTCCATGCCCACTCAGGTTATTGACAACTCATTTCCTTGCAGCTTTAGAGCAGTGCTGGGCTTCTTGCTGGTTGTCAACTGGAGACTGTCCCCAGCTCCAAGTGGATGCCTGCAGTTCCTAGAGGTCACCTATAACTCACTGTCACCTGGACCTTCATTAACCCAGTAAGGACAGTCTGCACAGAAGGCAGACAGTGATATGGCATCACCAAATGTACACATCCTATTGTGCACATTCTACTGGCCAGAAAGTAAGTCACAGACTTCACACACACTCCAGGGGAGAGGATCATCTGGGGATGTGGACACTAGGATGACTTTGTCCATCCCATTATATAAAAAGGTCCATTATGCCATTCTTATCCATCACCTCCACTATGGTTATATTTGCATTTTCCATAATAAAAAAGTGCATTATTTATTTTCAAATTATATCTAAAATTTCCATAATAGATTAGGACACACTTATATAATTTCTAGAAATGCTATGCTATAGTTGTTTATAGATGTCTTCCCAGGGGATTGCATGTTTCTTTCTACTCCATATACACTAAGACCTTAATTATTAATTAATAATTGCCCTGCCAAGATTATGGCAATTACTTCCCTTGTGCAGGCAACTCAGACCTAAAGAAGTTTATAAGACCTTGGAGTGGTAGCCATGGATTTTAACCCACCAACTAAAAACTTATGTATATGGTATGGTTGAGTTCATCAGTTCACTCATTCAAACATTTCACCATTATTTTTGTTGGGGGCCTGGTTTGTGCTAAGTACTGTTTTAGCAGGGATATAAAAAGATCCAAAGTAGAAATTTCTATTTGGGGGCTAGAGGAGAAGTAGAGGGAGCAAACTATAAACAAATAGAAGACTAAATGATAAGATGATTTCAGAGAGTGATTACAAGAATGAAAGCACAAAGCAGGGTCATGGGCTAGAGACTGGGTGGGGTGAGGAAATGATGCAGATAAGAAACACCAAGTACAAAGGCCTCAAGCTGAACAAACGTAGAAAGTTCCAGGGGTGGAGGGTGGAGGGGAGTCTGCAGGAACAGAGCAAGGGGCAGGGAGAGTGGAACTGGGAGGAGACACTAAGGCAGCTGGAATTGATTCTGCAGGCTTGAAAAGGCCACTTGGTCTATATCCACCATTGGTTCAGAATACAGAGATCAGAACAAGGAGTAACAAATCATATTTGCCCTCCAGAAATATATGGATTTCAAACTTCAGTGCTAGTAGGACCTCAGTTTTTCTAGAATTATAGTCCAAAACATCTATTTCACATATGGGGAGACTGAAGCCCAGGCATCCTTGAGGATGCCTCACAAATAAATAACCCCCAAATGACTTTTGACCTAAAAGAGTGGATTCCCTGGTTTAAAGCTTTAGGAAACAGTAACAAATAATTATTTAGTGCCTGTTATATGCGAGGCAGTGTGATGAAGAAGTTGAATGTAAAATTGGGTGCCGGTGGCTCACTCACATCTGTAATCCTGGCTATTCAGGAAGCAGACATCAGGAGAATAATGGTTAGAAACCAGCCTGGACAAATAGTTCTCAAGACCCTATCCCAAAAATAGGGTCTCAAAAAAAACCATAACAAAAAAGAACTGGCAGGATTCAAGGGGTCAGAGTGCCTGCTTAGCAAGCATGAGGCTATGGATACAAATCCCAGTACCACCAAAAAAAAAGTTGGATATGGTAGAGAGACTAATCCAGTTTGGCAAACAAAGTAGAAACACATGAGAAATTAAATTACAAAACAATATTAGTTTTAAAAACTACCTTTTCTCGATTACCTTCTTGTATCAGGCGGAATACATTTAGCTCATTTCATTCAGAAGGTACCAGCTGAACCAGGAGTTACTCTTTATTTCATAGAGGAAGAAACCAAGGTCAGAGAAGAAGTTAGGTGTTAGGTGCTTTGCCCACGTATTTACAGTACTCGTGGAGTGAGGATTCCAGGCAGGTCTGCCCATCCGATCCCAGCTTTTCTCCTCTAGCCTACCTCACAGCAGAAGGACACATGGTCTGAGTAACTGCCAACTGAGTGGAACAGAGAGAAGAATCCTGATTTCAGAAGGAAGAGAATTCTCAGGCCGACTGTAGCAAAGTGTGTCTGTGACTGTGACAACTGGACCAGCAGAACAAAGGCGCTAGTATGTCAGGTACAAGGGAGAAGGTATAGTAAAATAAGTCACTTGGGAGAAAGCCCGGGCTGTTTCTAGCTGGAGCTCAATAGACAGGGATCCAAGTACAGGTCATTTATCTTGGAGGGGGTTCCAAAAACAAACAGAAAGTCAGTGAGTGAGATAGGGGACCAGTAACATATTCATTGTCAAGCAAGTTACCCCGTGGGCCACTGAAGCATAAACTCTCCCGGGAACTTTACAAGATGGTGTCTAAACTGCCTCAGAGTTGTCCCAGTTGAGGGGTGAGAAATGGGAAAGTTACCACTGCATTAACTCCCCTAAAGTAAAACCGCCATTGTTGTCACTGTTGTTGGCACTTAGAACAACCAGCTTGCCCTCCTTGGTTCTTGGCGATGTCTGTGATTCCTGTGGACTTTCTCTGTGCTTGGCTGAGTCAGTGGAGCCACAGGCAACCAAGGTTATGATATTAAAACAAAAATTGAAGCTTTGCTCCTCTCATCTGAACAGCCCAACGCTCCCCACAAATCTGCCTCATTGGTTCTCAGAACACCTTTGGGCAGCAAAGGAGAGATGGTCCTACCCACTGTGAAAAGCACCATGTTCACATCCCAGGACACTGTGTGATTTGTGCACTTTTCAGGTCCAGGATGGGGGTGCAACTAGGGTGGTCAAGGTAAAGATAGGTCACAGGGACACAGTCCCA